GTGCCATGTGGGTTGCTTCCTGGCCGGCCAGGGATCGAACTCGTGCTGTAGAGGCTGCTGCAGAGGCTGCGGACAACTTCTTGGGTTGCCTCTTAACTCCTTGCGCCACCAGGTAGGCTCTTATTTACTAACTTTTAAGGTATTTTAGTTTCTTCATTTATCTACCTCAGACCTTCTTGAAAAAGTAAGATTGTGTGTGTGTGTGTATATATATATATATGTGTATATATGTGTGTGTGTGTGTATATATATATATATATATAGAGAGAGAGAGAGAGAGAGAGAGAGAGTGCTGTTGGTATGTTGAATGAATAGTAGGCACTTATTAGTGTTAGTGTGATACTGTGATTTATAAGAAATACATATATTGGTCATTCAGGTGACCAAAGTATATTTCTCATACATAGTTAGTCTTCATTCACAGTTTCTGCTCACAGCACCCTTAAGAATGATAAAGCTGTCTCTTGTTAGGTTAATGAAGTAACTTTTTGGAATGCGTCTGAAGATGGAGACCCCTGGTTTTCTGGGAGGGGAAAGGGACCTAGAAGTGGAATTCAGTTGCCAAAGACCAATAAGTGATCGATCAGCAAGGACATAAGTAAGGAATGCCTAAGTAAGGAAGCCTCCATTAAAACCCAAATGGATTTTTATTTTATTATAATTAGTCTTTTTCCTGGTCCTTTATTTAGCTTTTTAAAATTCCTGCTATGAGTGAGACCATCCGGTATTTTTCTTTTTCTTTCTGGCTTATTTCACTGAGCATGATCACTTCCAGCTCCATCCATGTTGCTGCAAATTGCAAAGACTAATTATAATAAAGTAAAAATCAAAATCAACAAGCAACTGTAAACCAGATACACACTACTGGGGTGGGGGAAGAAGGGAGTAGGATCAAAACAAGGAGGGTGGGAAGTATATGGGGATTATAACCAAGATGAAAATGCATACATTGCACAAAAGTGAAAAATGATGTAAAAAATATGTAAAATAAAATTAAATTAAAAAAAAAACAAAAACAAAACCCAAATGGAGGAGGCTTTAGAAAGCTTCCAGGTTGGTGAATATGTGGAGATTTGGCGGACAATGGCATACCTGGAGAGGGTGTGGGGGCTGCAAACTTTTTCTCCATACCTTTCCCTGTGCTCATATGTCAACATTTCCTCATATATGTTAAGATGTTGCAGCATTCCAGGTATCCCCATTTTACAGGTAAAAGTGCTAGGGCAGGAATGAATGAGTTTTTGTCCTAGACGCCTTGTGAAGACAATTAGGGGAAACTTGGAGAGAAGTTGACTTTCCCTCAGGCATCATTGGCAGGATGGTGATCACATGCCAATCTCCCATGAGGAGAGACATTACCTTGGTTGAGAGTGGAAATGGTGGAGTCAGGAGACAATCCAGAGGGTGCGTCTCCAGAGCCCATACTGCTTCCACTATAACAAATTACTTCCCTGTTGTATCTGTGGGTATAGGTACTCTGCCACTCTGGCAGTGGTAACATGGACAGATTCCTTATTTAGCCTCTCTGTGCCTCAGTTTCTTTATCTTTAAAGTAGGTATGATAGTTACCTCATTTAAGGTGGTTGTAAAGATTGCATGAGTCAATGTATGTAACATACTTGGAAAAGTACCTGGCACTTAGTAAGTGCTCAGTAACTCTTAGCAATTGTTGCTGCTGTTATTAGTTAGGTGATCTTGGTCAATTTACTTAACTTGCAATGCAACTGGTCCAAATCACAGACATTTCTGAATTGTCAAAGTTTTATAACTGGTCTCCCTGCTTACACTATACATCTTTATTGACATATAATTCACTTCCACACAATTGACCTATTTCTGCTTGCACTATGCATTACTACCATCTTATTTTTCATAGAGTAATCTTTTAAAAAATAAATCATGTCACACTCCTGGTCAAAACCTTCTATTTGTTCTTAATCCTATTTATAAAATCCACCTTGTAAGACCCTTTGTGATTTGTTTCTTACTCTCCTCTCCAACTTCATCTTGTAGTACATTCTACCTCCTTCATTTAAATCAATCATATAACCTAACTTTCTCGTCCTTGAACTGTGAAACTTATTTCCATTTTCACTTTAGGATTTTTGCCCCATCTCTTTCTCTGCTCAGGTTTTTCCTCTCCCAAATCTTCCTCAGAGATGACTCCTTGAGACCTTCAACATAAATAGTACATCCACTGAAAGGCTAGTCCTTATAATTTCTATTAAGCTCTTTGGGATGCCCATGTTGTTGACCGGAGGCCCTTGAATATCATGCTCAATTAATTTCATCATGTACTTTCTGATCCTTTCTTGCTTCTTTATTTAATTTTTTCCTACTATCACTCTTTGCACTGGAATGAAGTTGCCACAAGCAAAGGAAATTGTTTTTCTAGTGTTTTATCACTGGTATCAAGATCTATTTGGTTTTCAGCAGCCATGAATGAATGAATGACTAAGCAAATTTACCTATGGCATTTCAGTTATTTGTATGATAGTAGTATTGTGAGGATTAATAAAAATAATTCTGTGAAATTACTGTCCCTGGTACTCAGTAAATGTGCACTGCTGTTAATAGACTTTTGTTCTAAAACTCCTTAGTTTTAATAATCTTTTTTAAAAAATGGTTCATAATCAGCTTTTGTCCTCAAACTTGTTTGAAAATTTGAGGAAGATTGTATTTTTAGTGATCTTGCTTCAGAAAACCCCCCACAAATTCACATATAATTTCCTTTTAATTTTAGAAATCTTCCGGATATCCCTAGTTCCCCATACTCCACTCAAAACAAGCTTCTCATGTTAAGGCTTTGTTCAAGAAACCTGTGTTTATATAACACTTCTTATTAGGACTATTACTGACAATTTGCTTTTTTCTAATTTCTTTTGAAATTGTGGTATGAGTTACCTCTTTTTTTCTGTATTACAAGCTACCATGTGCCCTTAATAAGAGCGTAATTGTGGTTTTATTATATTTATTAGTGAAGTCAGTTAAGTGCAGCATATTAGCATAGACTGCAAGACAGCAAAACTACAGAAGAATTTTGTTGTTTTAAACTTCTGTCTTATGAAGAAAACTTAAGAATTGGGGAAGATTGCCTCTTTCCCTGTTGAAAGGGCTCCTGCAAACCTGTTGAACATTCCTGAACTCTACTACACCTTCTGTAAGAAGTATGAAGGCACTAAACCTACAAAGTGCCACAACATAAGAAGGGCAAGAATTCTCTGTATACCCAGGGAACGTGGCCTCACGACAGGGAGCAGAGAGCCTGTGGTGGACAGACTACACCAATTTCCAGAAAAAGGCTAAAACTACAAAGGAGATCGTGCTGAGGCTCAAATGTACTGAGCCCAGTTGCACACGTAGAGAATGCTGGTCAAGACATAACAGGCATTTTGAAAAGGGCAAATGACTTAATTCTACGCTTCATCTTTTGTTTTATTATGAAGACAATGCTATCTGTGTTGACCTAAAAAAAAAAAAAAATGGTGGGGTTGGAGGGGGAAGTCTAAGTAATCACAAATATGCTCAAAGTCTGGGGTGAGGGGCTCATTTTTTTTTCTTGGGGAAAAATAGAAGTAATTATTAAAATACTACCTAGGAAATTATAATAGATTATTCAGATGCTAGGACACCACAGCCAGTAGGATGTGGAACATAGTGGGATTTTTCCAAAATTTACTTTAGGAGAATGTTGTCAAATAACATACAAAATTAAGGTATTTGAGAGAACAGTGCAGACTTTCAGGACTGTAAAATATTCCATTTTTATTTGTAGATTAGTGTGTGGATCTTTAGAATGGCATTTTCTTACTGTCCATTTGGAGTACAATAAGATAAATTAATATAAATCAAAATAATATGGCAGCAGCATCACATAATTTGTGTACACTGATGTAGTAACAGATTTAATTTAGTGCAGCTTTTGAGAAGTCTTTTGTGTTTCAATTTATACAGCTGCTATTCAGGCCTAAGCTGGCCAATCTCTCAGTCTTGAGTGTCTTGCTTGACTGATTCTCTCTTGTTTTAAAAAAGAATCTTTTTTTTTTTTTTTCCTAGAGCAGCTTTAGGTTCACAGCAAAATTGAGTGGAATGTATAGGACTTTCCCATATGCCCCTGCCACCCCCATGGAGGTTCCCCCATTATCAGCATCTCTCATAAGAGATGTACTTTATTATAATTGATGAACCTCTGTAGACATATCACAATCACTCGAAGTCCATAGTTTACATTAAGGTTCACTCTTGTGGTAGCACATTCTATGGGAGTGGACAGGTGCATAATGACATGTAATTACTATTATAATATCATACAGAGTATGTAGCAGGTACTGTTTACTGGCGAATATGGCATTGAACAAAACAGACAAAAAATCCCTGCCATCAGGGGTCCTCCCTGGTGGTGCAGGGGTTAAGTCTCAGGGCTAGCAAGCTAATGCCAGCCACTGCAGCCACAGTTTGTTCCTGGCCAGGAAACTGACCCACATGGCACAGCAGACCTCTCCTGGCTCGCCCGCTGCTCCCCTCAGCAGTGTTTTTCAGTAGATCTGCCTGTTCTGCTCCCCACTCTGTCTCTGGTGAATCCTCTCACCCGCCCCACGCCTCTGGCCTGTATCCCAGTTCTTGTATGCATAAAAAATTTTTTAAAAAAGGGCCTTCCCTGGTGGCGTAGCGGTTGAGCACTGGGCTGTGAAGCTGCCCACAGCCTCTGCAGTGCCGGTTCGATCCCCGGCCACCAGCAAGGGTCCCACATGGCCCGCAAACCTCTCCTGCCACGCCCACTGCTCCCCTCAACAGTGTATTTTGTCAGTCTGCCTGTTTTGTTCCCTGCTCTGGCTCTGGTGAATTCTCTCACCCTCCCGCGCTTCTGACTGTACCCAGTGCTTGTATAAATAAACAAATCTTAAAAAAAAAATCTTTAAAAAAAAAGCATGAAAAGAGAGTTCTTTGAAATATGTTCATTTAAGAGAGGCTAACATTGCATCATATATTTTTGTTTATAGCCTATACAGTCCAGACACCCGAGAATGTTTCCCCAACTGCAGCTACAGAGGCTTATTCAAAAGCTTTGGCTGTTTGCCATGGACCGCTGGACCACTATGACTTTCTGATCAAAACTCATGAGCTAAAAGATGATGAACATCAAAGAAGAGTCATTCAGTGTTTGCAGAAATTACATGAGGACCTTAAAGGATATAGTATAGAGGCAGAAGGTCTTCTTTCAAAGGTGAGTTTTATGTGATATTAAAGACTGAACAGTTAAAGGTACAAACATATTATAAAATTGATCAAATACAGTAGGACCTGATCATAAAACAGCTTGGAAAATTCCTACAAAATTTTTTAAACATAATCTGTTGCATCCCCATTCCCGACCTTCATATTGTCTTCCACCCTCTGGGGCATTCAGGTTGCTTCCTATTTAGGTAATCATTGATGCAGTCCAGTCTAAATGAAAACTGCACAATTCAGTTTTCCCCTCCGTCTATCTCAGACCTGTCCAAGATCAGCAGTATAGAAAGGGGAGTGATTTATTCTTCCTCTTTCCCTCTTTTCTCTGCTTGTTTGGCATCTCAGGTCAGAATGAGAAGGATGAATGATTATAGTAGAACAGCTGTTTGAAGTACATTAAGGGCCTTTTGTGTGATAGGTGCTGACATGCTAGCTCATGGTTGAGGGGTGCAAGACTTCTTCAAGACTCCCCGCTGCTCCACTCTTTGTCCTCTTAGGATTCAGGGGTATACCTCACACCACTGCATTCTGTTGGGGCTCCCTTGCCCTTGCCGTTACAAGTGGAGTCCTTTTGGGACAGCTCTGGCCAGGTCACCTTTTATGGTGTCCAGGTAGCACAACATCTTTCTCCCACCACTACTGCAAGGGTAACTTTGCTTAGCCTCTTGCTTTCAGCTTTCTCCAGATAAGAGGCAGGCACCAGTCTCTGTCTTTGTCCTCTACACCCCCTTGCTCCAGGGGACACACATCAAGTTCTTCCATGAACTCTTCTGCACCCTGCTTTGGTACCCACCATAGACTTCCTAAGCTGAGCAAGCATCCAGCTGGGGAGGGAAATGCATGCATTGTCTTCCACTCAATCCTCATGTCTTTGGGTGCTTCTTTTAGGAACTACTGCACTTGGCGTGAGGTTTATCTGGGAGAATAGCCACAGAATTCCTTACCCAGCTAACAACTTTCTACCTTGATCACTTTCTTCAGTCCTTTATGGTTTTAGGATTTTGTCTTTCTTTTTTTTCCCTTTTAAGTAATTCCTGCATGGATGTGACTAATGACTCCTCTTAGAGTGTAGGGAACTTGTCTTTCCTTGTCCTTAGCTTTTGAGTTTTGCTGACATTCTGAAACAGCAGAAAAACTCCAGTTCCTTATCTTATTGTAGAAGCCAGTGTCATTGTGGTGTCATCTTCAGACATAAATAGTAATAAAATTTAGAATATGGTTCAATCTGAGAAACTAGTTTTCTTTTAATTGACTGACCAAATCACCTCTCCTTTGTCTCCTCCCCAACAAGTATTATTTTTATAAGTTCTTTAGAGGAAAGGTTCTTTATAACATGTTAGTAGTACTTTATTTAAAAACTCTAATGGAAGTAATTTTGCTTTTTAAAAGGCAATTGAGAATATAATTAGGTAGTTTCATTTTTATATAAAGAACAAGACTGCGCTAACAATTTTTGGTTAAAGGGAATAGTGTTATTTAGAATACAGAATGAAATGGAGCTTTAGACTAAGGCTGCATGAGCAAATAGCAGTGAAGTGTGTCTCCATTACACAGCCCAGCCTCATAGAGGCTGAGCCAGTTTTCCACAGCGCCAGTGGCTCTGAAAACTTTGACAGCTTGGCAGGTGGCAGCACAGGCTCTCCTTGATTCTCACTCCAGTGCTCTGCCAATCATGTAATCCTCTTACTATGTTGTTGCTTTTCCCCCACATCTGTTTCCGTTTCTGTTTGTTTTACCAATTTCTAAACGTTCCCCCTATGTCATCGGTGGGTTAAATTCCTCAGTAAGACTCTAATAGGATAACCAGTCATTTCCTCCCTATAGGGGCAAAGCTTTCACAACAGGTTTTGCCCTCAGACGATTGGGTCTCTGCATAAGGTGCCAGTTGGGCTCCTGTGAGCATGGCTGTTCTCTTAGCACAGTGGTTCCAGGAAAGCCTGATGAGTTATCCCTATTGATCACCAAATGTCCCTCTTTTTTCCATAGTTCCCCAAATTTATGGATGAGTAAAGAAATAAAAAGTTTGGAAAATAGAGACTGCTTGTGTACTGTATACTTAATTATAGTTTGCAGGACAGATGGTCTTCCAAATAAAATAAACTGGTTATGTGTCAGAGCCAGGAAACAAGTGTTTTACTTAAGTGGATTTTTTGTTATCTGAGAGTTAAATTGCTTTCATGAATTTGGCATCTTGTTCCCTTTCTAGTCCTCTCCATTTTGGAAATACAGTCCTTTTTTTTCTACTTCTCCAGTATGTATGTTCCTTAAGGCTCATCTTATAATGGTTGGTGAACTAACATCCAATTAAAAGTATCTTTTAATCATTAACTTATCTGACTGTCAATTCGACTACAATGGTTTCTTTTCTGAAAATTATTGTTTGGCTTATCTTTGGAGTATTCTCCCACACTTTATTTCTTAATTGCTTATGATGGGTCTGCCTAGTGAATAACCCTGGTTTTATTATGTAATTGTAATCTTATGTAAGCAGGAGATCTGACATTCAGGTAGTTTCAAATGTGTCTAATGAAAGCTTATATTTGTCATATTCTAAAGTATATATGAATAAGTGTTAAGAAGCTTGATCAACATCTCTTTGTTGTAGTATTTGTCTTTTAGTTTCTTATGCCTGCCAAATCTTTAACATTGAAAAATACCCAAACATCTAATGTAATTTGAGTAAAGCATATATAAAAGCTTTAGTTTTGAAGATTATGAAGAAACCAGAAACCTCTTTTTAAAAACAATACTGATATGCTGATTATCAGAGAAGGAAAATTTGGGCTATTAGATTTTCCACTGATAGAACAACTTACAGAGTTCTTAGCTTTGGAAAATAGGATTTATGATCTTATGGGCTTTTGATTTCTACCTCCCAGCTTCATTGAGATATTATTGATAAATAACATAAATAAGTTTAAGGTGTAAAATATAATGACTTGATTCTCATATTGCAAAATGATTGCCACAATGAGATTAGTCAACACCTACAGCTTCTCACATAATTACCATTTTTCTTTTTTTGTGGTGATAGCATTAAGTATATAACTCAGTATTGTTAATTATAGTCACCATCCTGTACATGAGAGCTCCAGAACTTATTTATCTCATAGCTGGGAGTTTGTACCCTTTGACCAACATCTTGCCTTTTCCCCCCAGCCCCTGACAACCACCATCCTCTCTTTTTTTATGAGTTCAGCTTGCTTCCTTATTTATTTACATATTGTAACATTGGTTTACAATATGGTAACACTGGTTTACAACACTCTCTGTGATTCAGAAGCATAGGATCACACCTCCTCAGATGCATGTCACCACACCACACCCATCACCGAGGCACCCTCGGCCGTCCACCATAATCCATTGTGAAATTGGACTTTTTTAGAATTCTGCATATAAGTGAGAACCCACGGTATTTGTCTTTCTCTGAGTTATTTCACTTATGCTATATGAGTGTTTGATTTTGTTTTTAATGGAGATGTTTAAATATTCATTATCGTCTACTTCTTTTTTTCATTGTACTCCTAGGAAATTTTCTGAAAGGCTAAGCTATAATATTAAAATAAAATATACCTTCATAAGATGCCAGGATTATTAATTAATGAGAAAAAAATTGATTAGACTATTAGGCTCTTTCACCTACCCCTATAACAATGTTTCCGTAATAAAAATGTGTAACAGTTAAGAACAAATGACCATGCTATATGAGCAACAAACTATAAAAAAATGAGCATTTATGAACACTTCACTTTTGTTATCAAATAAAACTTACAACCAGGTTAATCTGACACATTTAATATATGCATAATTGTTATTGTGCTGTGAGGTAATTAGGCATAAATGGTAAGTAGTTCATGTAAATCACTATAATTAGAATTACTTTTACACAGCCAAATCAAGCATTTCTAGAGTCAGGGAGGGAGAGAATTAAATAGAGTGTGGAGCTACTCTGAAAATCGCTGTTTCCATTAATCAGAGGTATACAGGCAACTAGGTTTTTCATCTCATAGCAGGAGATCATAGCCCAAGAGACCTGGGAATTGGGGTGGGGAGGGGTGTCAGGAAGCACTTAACATTACTTTTCTTTTTCTTCTGCTCTCCATCAAATAATTTTCAAGTTTTCCCTAGTGAGAAATGATTATTTCCATCTTCCTCTACCATCCTACTGTCTTATTTGGATACCTTCTTCTCTCCCATGAACAATGCATTTAGTAGGTTTTAGAAAAGAACTATCCCGCCTTAATCTAAGGTCTTATTCTGAGGTCTTGATACTTCCTGTGTTCTGGCTTCTGGTGTCTCAGCCCTGAGACCAGGATACCTGGGATTTTTGGCTATGGATTTTTCTCTTGGGAGATATGGGAAGCCCCTTGTCTGGGACCTTCAGTTAGTTTATCATAGAATCTTCAGAGATATTTCTAGCAGTTTGTCAGTTTTTTCTCAGTTCTTCCCTTTTTCTTCCAGCTAAGGGTAAACATTAATTCTCTTCATTCCTCTTAGTTCTGGCATATCCTATAAAGTAGGTTGAGTGGTGTGATTTAGGGAAAGCTTCTCTGCTCCCTGGAACTTTATCTTTTAGAGAATCATAACCAACATTGAATACAAAATAAACAATAACTATACAGCTATAATTGTATTAAAGAACAGAATTTTTAAAAAAATGAATGTTTCTTTTATCAAAATTTTATGGAAGCTGAAGCAAAAGCATTACATCCTAACATGGTTATCTAGAAGGAAGTAAGATTGTGGGGCAAACATTGCTCTTTGAGGACATGCCAAAGACTCATTTAAAATCTGAAATTTGGGAAACAGAATGTAGTGGGCCTGCTTTATACTCCAAAGTACTTAATATATTTAGTTAAAACTTAAAGTTTTGTCATGGTTCAACAGGTGAAATTATACTGTCATCATACATGACAATGTCCTTAAGAAACTTCTAAAATGAATTTAAAGAAAGGGGGTGTAGCCCATTTTTTTTTACTATGTTTAGGGTTGGAA